ATAGAGATATTGAATTTGAAGTTGTCTAATGGGCACAAAATTTCCCTGTTCTGTTTGTTATGATGGTTTTTAATGCCATTGGAATTAACTAAACAGAGACATTTTTAGTTTGGCTGAAAGAAGAAAAAGAAGAGAGAAAACATTTTTATAATTTGTTACCCTACACTAGAACAATTGGTAAATTATGTATAACAGCACATATCATAAAAGAAAATTTCAAGATTATAAGCTAGGCATGATGATTTACACATATAATCCAGATGAAGCTTTCACATGTCAAAAGCAAGATCAAGTGGTTTTTCAATTCATGTGTTGATTTTTAAAAAATTAAAATAATTATCCAATCATGGATTTGATCAGAGTTCTTGTATTGAATGATGATGAGCAATAATTTGGAATAATTCTATAAAAAAGTTAATACCTTAATATTCAATAAAATATGTCAATGAAATTTTGTAATTGAAGTTACAACTGAGTTGCATAAAGTTTTTGGCCTTAAAAAAAAAAAAAGAAGTTACAACTGGAGTTCAAATTGAATATGGATCAAATTTAAAATTTCAAGGTACAAAATGAAAAGGTGAACTGTAATGCACGGTGTTAAAACAAAGTTGGCTCAGATGATTAAATTTGAGATTTTGTTGAAGAAAAAGCATAGAGACTTTCTAATGGGACAAATTTTTGCTTTTTTGTTTGGTATGTTGGTTTATTATATCATTGAAGTTAACTAAAAACAGACACACATTCTATAATCTAATATCTTATCACTAAAATAGACTTACAATCTAAATAAATGGCTAAATAGACCTTGACATGATGTATGGATGGTTTATTTAGTAAATTAAGGATGATTTTTTTGAGTAAGTCTTCAATTTTTTGGGCTCAAATCTCTTAATCCAATATGTATAAGTGAATAGTTTCTTAGGTTACTAGACCTGGTTGACACCTCTAGTTTTGCTCAAGCTGCCATATGCTAAAAAAAATAGTATCTTGCAGCATATCAACTAAATATGTTAATATAAAGTATACCTAAATTTAAATGAATGTTAATCGAGTTAAAATTTAGTGTACAAATTGGTCATAGCTTTCAACTGCCATGTCTCAAATCCTTGGAATAAATTAACAGATTATGAGATGCAAAAGAGCCATTTCCTGCTTTGTAACCTAAAGTATTATGCATCAAAGAATTAAATTTTAATGAGTGCATGAGATTAACTAACTTTGACGTAGCTGACACAAGTAATTAACCATGGATTTGGTGGGGGATTACACCCTTGAGATTGAAAAAAAGATCATTCAAGTTGTCCAATGGGACAAATTTTCCCTTTTTATGCATTTGGTATGTTGGTTACATCATTGATATTAACCACACCCAAAGGCATTTTTAATAATTTATGCACACAAAATAGAAATAAAACAAAGATGCACTCTCAGCAATAGATAAATAAATATGTAAATAAAGATGTCTGATTATTGTGCACAAAATAATGCTGATATTGTGGTGGCATAAAATTTAGGATGACCTCTTGGTAACTACTGACTAGAGCTACAATCTACCTTGTGCCACCACATGTCTTGTCCTGATGCTTCCTCGTGACTAACATGACAAACGCAGAAAGGAGAAATTTGTCTGCATTAGCCTAATTAATTAAGTGGTTCAGCATGATTTGACTCTATCTATCAGAATTCTACATAATGGAAACCTAGGTATATGCCATTCGTTCACTGCTACTTCAATCTGGTTATAAACTAACAGTAAAAGTAAATGCCATAGACAAAATAGATAAACAGAATGAGATTGTTGCATTTGGCATGTACAACAGGATCAAAATTGACAGACAATGAACAACTCACATTTTTCAGAGGATACGTATGCTGATTCCTTGGTCCTATAGCAGACAGAGAGACCAAGATCCTGAAAGGTTACAAATTCAAAATTCTTTTATCTTCATATGGTGTAAAAATATTCTAACATATAATAGAAAATATAAATAAACAAAATTAAACTTATATGAATTAATATGGGCTTTTAGAATATTG